GTCCCGGGGGGTGACTCTTGTTGGAGGGGTACAGGGGGTGACTCATGGGGGGGGCTGTCCCGGGCGGTGATTCGGGGGGCACGTTGGGGCCGTCCCGGGGGGTGACTGTCACGGAGTCACCGCGGGAACGGCTCTGGATGAAGGCAGCCAGGACTCTGGGGCAGCGTCTCCCCTCAGGGCACCTTCACCAGGGCAAGGAGCCTGCTCGGCGTCGGCACCTCTTGGGTCTGACCTCGGAGCGCTCATCTCCCTGCTCACCCCGGGAGCTCCCTGCAGCGAATCCCCCTGGACGGGACCCTTGGGGAGCCTCACGCCCCCCACAGGGCCCTGCCCCCACTCCGCAGCCAGCAGTGACCCAGCCAGTGTGTGACACAGACGCGTTATTAGTCGTCGGGACCCCAGCGTAGAGCAGAGCTTGTTAGTTCAGAAACATTCAGCAAAGTCCATCTTGGGGGGGACCCAGGGCTCCCACCCCCCATTCCCCCGAATCCCAAAACAGGAGACTGACCAGCCCAGCTTCTGTCAGCCCCTGCTGCCCCCTCTGGGGTTTGTCTCTTTCCTGGGCAAACAGCAGGTCACCTCACCTGGCCTCCACCTCTCTTTGTTCTCCACCATCTCCACCTGATTCTTGCAGGGGCTGGCTCCGGCCATCAGTTACCAGGCTACAGATTGTTGGCCATTCTCTGTCCCTGGCAGCCAGTCGGTGTTACACTTGCCCTCTAGGGGCCTCTGCAATGATCACACACCCTTGTCCCACCACCTAGGTACATGAGTAACACGTAGGGGAAACTGAGGCACACACCGTATTCAGACAAAATATTAAGAACATTCCCACTTCGTCACAGACTCATTGGGGGGTTGGGGTGTGACAGGGTTGCCAACTCTCCAGTTTCTGAAGACCGGCCTCCCTGCTCTGGCCCCTCTCCCCGAGGCCCTGCCCCCGCTCCCTCCTCTCCCCTCCAATCCAAACAAAACCCCCTAAACCCCAGAGCAGGAATTATGGCAGAAATCGCATGTTTCCTGCCCCCTCGTATCCGTGTTCTGAGGAAAGGGGGCGGTGAAGCTTTGCTGCAACACTTCTCTTGTCTTTGTCGGGGACGCTGGGAAATGGCAAGGAGTTGCTCACTCCTACTGCAATAAGTGCCATTCCCGGTATCCCTGCCGACGCTGTGGGAAAGAGGCATGAGACTGCTGCCCTAACAACCCGTCAGCAGAGAACCGTTGGGATACGGATAGTTATACACAAGTACTGAGCAGCACGAAATCTAAACGCAGAAAATGCATTTCAGCAGCAGAACCCTGCTCTGATTCCCCCTCTGTACAACGAAAGCAAACATGGATTTTTGCCGGCTGCATTTTCACTTTGGCTGAGAAGTTCATTCTTGCCCCTCCTCTATGCGAAGAGCCAGGCCCCGAGCCCCACCTTCGCCAAGATCCCGTTGAGATCAGGTGATGCGTTCCTCTCTGCCGAGATCTCGGCACTGTGCAGAGAAAAGGTCCATGGCTCAACGAGGCAGGTCCTGGAAGAACCCCAATGAGGTAGCGGGTATTTAGGACCCTCGTTAAGACACAGCATCGAGGGAAGCAGGGGGGGAGAGGAGAGATATGGGCTCTATTGAGCTAAACCTCCAGCGCCCTCCCCAAAAAGAGGTTCCTAAAAAAGTCAAAGACCTTTAAATAAACTCCAATACTGACAGAATGACACCCTGGCCCCCCGCCCTCCTACACACCAGAGGTGCTGCAGCACAGAGTAATTCCAGGGTGGGGGGGGGGCATTGTGGTATCTGCGTTCCTCCTGGGGAATGAGTGGCAGGGGAGCTGGCTCTAGTCCTGCGCGGGGAGAGGGGAGGGCTGCATGGGCAGGGTGCAGGCCTGGGAAGGGGGATGAGGCTGAGAGCCAAGGTGGCCCCATTGGGGGAGTGGGGCACACGGGGGTTTTGCAGCCACAGGGGCTGGCTGAGGGCTGTGTGTGGGGGGGAATCGGCAGTGAGGTGACACTGCCAAGGGGCAGGTGGGCTGCCCTGGGCAGGGGGGACAGCCAGGGCCGGCTTTAGGCCGATTCCCCCGATTCGGGCTGTGACGGAGCAGGGAGCGGGGTGGATTTGACCTGGGAATGGAGCCTGGGAGTTACATTGAGGTACCTGAGCTGTAACCTGAGCCAGGAGGGGGGTGGGGGAAGTGACACCTTCTGCCCGGGAGAGGAACAAAGGAGAGGAGGAGCAGAGGGGAGGGGGAGAGCTGCTGGAGGGATTTGGGAGTTTTCAGTTTTGGGCTGGGAGGTGCAATGCAGAGAACCCCAAGCTGGGGTCTAAGCTCCCTGCGCTCCCCAAGAGGACTTGATTGAGGGGTCCTGGTTGTATCTACAAGCTCTGCTGTAGACTGTGTTCCTGTTATCCAATAAACCTTCCGCTTTACTGGCTGGCTGAGAGTCATGGTGAATCGCAGGAAGCCCGGGGGTGCAGGGCCCTGACTCCCCCACACTCGGCGACACAGGCCCCGCGCCCTAAAGAAGAGCGCCTAACTTTTAAATTTTTACTCACCCGGGGGCGGTCTGGGTCTTCGGCAGCACTTCGGCGGCATTTCGGCGGCGGGTCCTTCAGTGCCGCGGAAGACCCGGAGCGCCGCCGGGTGAGTCATCCCTGCCAGGGCCCCGTCAAATCGGGCCCCGCACTTCCTAAAGCCGGCCCTGGGCGGGCACCCTGCCCC